ATATATACACACACACACATATATATATATATATATATATATATATATATTTAATATTCATTTTTTTTTATTGCAATAAATATTATTTTACTATATTGTATTTTCACGACCAAAACAACACTCTTTTAGCCTCATATTGAGATTTTTTTTTTGGCTTAGAGAAATGAAAAGAAAATAATGTTGCACATGGCTTCAAGGAGAAGCAGCGATCAGCATCAACTTTTACATTGCTCTGATTTTCATTTTTCAGATATTGCAAATCCGTGTGCTAATGTTGAATGTAATACAGGCGTATGCATCACTGACGGTAATTCATGTATTTCTACCGAATGTCTGTGCCCTGATTGCTTTAGTGGTGATTCTTGCCAAACATGTAAGTAAAATAATTATTGAAAGAACCTCGCCGGGTTTGTAAATTTGCTGTGTAATTATAATTTGTTACTAACATTTACAACTGAATTAATTTATTTTACCATGTCAACTACCGGTACTTTTATAAATTATATTTACATTGCATAGTTACTGGTCCGTGTGAAGTTAATAGGTGTTTGAATGGAGGCGTTTGCCAACAAGTAGAGGGCAGCTGTGACTTTTTCCTGTGCACGTGTTCTGGTTGTTATACTGGCGATCGGTGTGAATTCCGTAAGCTCCTTTTATGAATTTTAGTATTGCGCCCCCAAGCAGCATTTCCATCTGTAAGGAAATCTGCAAAAACTTCTAACAACGTTAAATCATTAATTTAAGAGTGTAAGAAAACGTTATCAACTTTAAATGAGACTACGATGGGACATTTTAGTTTCAATGATTTTCAGACAGAGACAAAATTATAAATATTAAATACCACCCAACCTAAGAGTATGTAAATAATACTACTACTGTATGAAGAATAATGTAAGCTTAATTAATATAAATGACTCGTTATAGTTTTGAAAATGAAGGTAACCTAATTTTCACAAATGTATGGCGCGCACTTAGTATGCGCCATACTTAATTTAATTGGCGTCCCATATTCGATTTTTTTTTTCTCGGATTAGGTTATTCCTTCTTTAAATTAACTTTCTCGTTGGTGGTGTACTTTCCAGAATGAGAAAATTAAATAAAGGACTTGTGGCAAGATTATTGTGAATGCAGCTTAATCAACTCAAATATTAAATGTTGTTTTTCGTGTTAGTAGGTCGAGTTGCACCTAATACAATAACAGTAATGATTTTTATAATTAGACCAATTTTTTTTTTTTTTTTTTTTTTTTTTTATCAATTAGCTGTAGCAGATCCGTGTGATAATCATAACTGTCAGAATGGTGGTGTTTGTGTACGTAAAGGAAATACGTGTACAGAAAAATCGTGTGCTTGTCCAGAATGCTACACTGGACCACTTTGCGAAACCCGTAAGAAACTTTTTTCCTATATAATATTTATGTTTTAACCTATCAATATTGACCACTGCGTCGGGGACAGCTATTCAGTGAAAAAATTGTAGCAATTTTTTTGGAATCAAGACTTTTCTAATGGTCCCTGATACTGGATCTCGGAATATGAGGTACAAAATACCTTGCAGACATTTTCAATATTTATAGGCCCCAGAGTTGGTTAGTCGGAGGCACGTTTTATCTATAATGGTATAATTATCAGTTTTTAATCCCATACTTTGGTTTCAGTGCTAGCTTGGTGCTCTTAATTTTTTCCCCTTGCTTAATTATTTAGTCTTTTTTATTTTCTTCTTACCTATTCTCTAGTCCATTGAGACCTCGTTTATTTGCGCTATATTATTTTTAATATTATTGCCAATGCTTCTAATAAATAATTGTGTTTGTTCGTTCAAACAGTTATAAGCGGATGTTTCGACCACCAATGCCAGAACGGTGGCCAATGTTTACCAATTCAAGGAACGTGCAATCAATACGTGTGCCTGTGCGCTGACTGTTATAGTGGACCAAAGTGTGAAATAGGTAGGTCCCCTACGCCTTCAAATATCAGCGGGTTCTTTAAGGAAGCATATGAAATAAGATTGTTATTAGATATAGTTATCTATGAGAGTTGTACTCCCCTGGACGGGACACTAGTCCGTCGCAGGTTAGTCATCAGCAGTTTACTGGTACCCATTGATACAGCTGGGCGCACTGAAGCAATGTAGCTAAAGTGCCTTGCCCAAGGACACAAGCGAATCTGCACTGCGGAGACTCGAAACCCCGACCTTACAAACCACTGCGTCAAACTGCCGCTACTGTTACCACCACATACGTCACTTCATAGTTTGCCAAATTTTTGTAACATACTTAAAGTAAATTTGCTCATGTTTTGTATTTATATATGGATTCAGTATGCATTTTTTGTTATATTAAGATTTTATATTTGCGTGGCCGGGGTTGATATTAATGTATTTATAGGTATATTTATGTCTATAAGTATTCAAGTACTGTGGTTGGTTTTACTTGTTTACAAAGCGGAAAAAAAAGAAAAAGAAGTTTAAGGCAATATGTAATTAAAAAAACTTCAATGGTACAATATATAATAAGCTAGTACAAGTCTCCCTCTAATTAAGGACCACCTCCAATTAAAGACTAATAGACCTTTCCGGAGTGTCAATCAAACTTAACAACTGACTAATCAGAACAGTGCTATGAATACGCGCGCGTCTCACAAACACACGTGTTGTCCCACAAACGCACGTGTTCGCGTATGTTTTAACACTGCCGACTTGTGAGACCTTAGCAACAATATTCAAGGGGCGGAGCTTAGCGGAAAGGTCCGTTGTCTGTAGTTCCGAACCAACAACTGTCTTTTATCTTGATTATTCTAATTAGAGACCAAAGCTATTAAAGACCTTATAAAAGTCGGCTTCAATTGGAGGGAGGCCAGTATAAAGATACTATTGGCCGTTGACATTATTTTGTCGAAGCCTGATTGTTGAAATTGCAATCGCGATATTTTGCTTGCAGGCTTTTTTAGATTTGCTGAAACTTTTTATGTAAAATTATACAGAGCTATAAAAATTCGATAAATTGTACATCTGAAAGTGTGTGTGTGTGTGTGTGTGAGGGTGGGGGTGTGTGGGTGTGTGTGTATTGTCGTTCTTATTTTAATATATTTTGGGCAAAGTATGCGGTAAAAAATTAGCAATAAAATATATATTATATTATATATTTTTTAAATGTTTCCACATTCAATTAACTACTTGCCAATTACAAGACATACACTGTGCTAAACGAATCTATCGCCTTACTTTCCCCCTCTAACTGGGACACTTTTTTATCCCTAAGGTGTTGCCTTAATATGTTTGTGTTTCTATTGTATTGTGGCATTCTGTTTTCTATTTCAGCCCGGAGTGATTGCAAAGAAGATACTTGCAAAAATGGAGGAACTTGCATCCAGGGATTTGATCCATGTAGCTTTCCATCATGCACCTGTCCGCCATGCTACATTGGACCTGAGTGCCAGACATGTAAGTAATTTCATTTGTTATTTGATAGCAGTAATAATAATAATAATTATAGTACATACATTAATAGAATATTTTTATGAGTTGAAAGATGGACTGCTCTATTCTTTGCATTGTTGGTTGGTGTCAATTTATAACCAGGAATTTATTCGCTGGAAAACATGCTTATCAGCATGCAATGGGGCAAAATGAATTTTCATGGGTGTCGACGCAAATCGAAAATTAAATATTTGCCATTTAATGGTATAAATAATCAATGTTAGGTGATAATAAATCTATCATTTAAATAACAAAGGTCTATTAAGTGTGTTATAATATTTTTTTTATCAGATTTGAATCCATGTGATGGCATCACCTGTCAAAATGGAGCGCAGTGCGAGTACACGGAAGGCGCTTGCTCATTCAGTTGCAGTTGTACAGGATGCCACACAGGGCAGTTATGCCAAACTGGTAAGTTTGATATTGTATATTATATTATATTATAAGCCAATCGTAACGTCATCACTGCAACTCCCAATGTTATTTGCCTATGTTTTCAAGCATTAAATCTAATCTTCGTATAATAATTTTCCTATGTGTACTATGCGGAGCTCTACTAATTACTTATTATCATATCTTATATCATATCATATCATAATACATTATATATATACAAATAGGTTTGCTTAGATAAATAATATTATTAATAATAATAACAGTGCTTAGATATTATGTTCCTATTTCCATGGTCTAATTGGTGTTACTCGCTTGGAGAGGTTTGGAGGCGGCTCAAAGCCCAGACACTTTTTTTTTTCATATAACTGAAAAAGGGGACTTATCGTTGACATGTTCTTATTGGAGCACTGTTATTATTATTTATATATTTACTTGTTTTTTATATATAGTGCTAACGCAGCTAAATTAATTTGAATAATAATATACTGGTATATTATGAAACAATTTTGAAAGATTTTTGCAAACTCTAGAATTACAATATTAGCATTTTTACATATGTTATTTTGTGACGTTTTTCTTTCTAATTTACAAGATACAGATAATTTTGTGGCGACAGGCAAATCCAGTTATCATTTCACTGCTAGAGACGGATCTGGGTTTGCGAAAGAGTCATTTACCTCTAGCAGCATTAAAAGACAAGAATATTTAATATGGCTAAATTTAAAGAAGAATCTTCTCTCAACCTCACACCATAAGATCATAATCCTATTCGGCTATTTGCGCCCCTGGCAGAAAACCTTCGTTCGCCCCTGGCTACGTGTTTTATTTTGTCACCTAATCAGTGTTTACGTTGACTGTTTCTGTTTTTATATTACCTCCTGTATGAACAGGGTTTAACCTGATTGATTTTGGTTTTCAGTCGTAGAGGCGTGCAGTAACAATTTGTGTGAAAACGGGGCAGCGTGCATAGCCCAGCTTGGATCTTGCACTGAATATACGTGTTCGTGTCCAGTTTGCTACTCAGGACAATTCTGTGATCAAAGTAAGATTACGAGAGTACAGTGCGCCCTTCAATTCGAGACCACCTCCAGTGGGACCTGAAATGTGGGCTGGTCTCGGGTTTGGTCTCCGTTGGGTTAGATTTGTGTTCGAAGATTGTTAGGCCTAGTTTCCTTAAAAGTATTGCAAATACAAAATAAGACAAGGATTTAGAGGAGGCTAAGAAGCCCCTAAAATTTGATGTATGTTTTCATGACTTTTATGATTTAGGTTAAATAAAAACTGTTATTTAAGACCTCTGAAAATATTAGTTTATCAACCGCATCTTGAGGGGGACCATACCTACATAGTAGGTCTTAGGTAGGTGTTGATTCAAACCATCTGAAATAAAATGTTTGGTACCCCCACCCCCTCCTTAATTAAAAATCCTTGATCGGCGCCCCTAAAAAATACAAAATACCGTATGCCATATATGTAAATAATTTTAAAATCTTTTATTCTGTCTTGTTCTGCTCTTATTTGTCAATTTTAATTGACACTCCGGAAACTTTATTGTAGCGTATCCATGTCCGTTCATTCGCACTCCAAATTTACACGTTAACCACGCTTGAATAACTGTACGCCAGCAATAACATTAATGTGATATCTGAAATTAAATGTTAGTGGATTGTTATATTTTTTGAGTACAGAACTTGATGCGTGTATGACTCTCAATCCATGTGACAATGGCGGGATGTGTGTTGCTGTGCAAAATGATTGTGCGGCATTCACGTGTGCATGTCCGATGTGTGTCTCGGGATTTACCTGTAACGTCAGTAAGTATTCCTATATATATAATCTATTTTTATACATATTTAATAATGTATAATTCTCTTCTTGTAATTTTTAAAAATAATGCTTGAATTTGTGTCTGTCAAGGCTATTTGTATTCAGTGGTGGGGCCAGAAACTTACCGACGAGTGGTCCGACGTGTCCGTCGGAGCGGTCCGAACCAAGGTGCCGACGAAGCCTCGGAATAAAACAATTCCCTGATAGTGTTCACAGAGTTTTTTTTTTATGGCTTATTATGGTCGAAAATGCGTTTTTTGACCACAATATTATAGGGATTGGCAATCAAAATAAGGTTATTTTGATAGGAAAATTATTTTTTTAAATTTTTGATCCGACAACTTAGTCGTTCGTCGGACGACAGAGGAGTCCAGTCCTGACGGGGCTTCCCCGCTGGCGCCACCACTGTTTGTATTTATTGTTTCATTTTAAATTCAAGTTTCAGCCTAGTGCTGCTGACTGTTTTTTATGTTCCCATACCTAAATATTTTTTTTCTTTAATAAATGAAAAGTATAACTTTACGTACACTCAGCTTTAAAGGAATGTTTACCAATTAATGATTAATTTAACCCGATGACTGTTTTAACCACTGATCTCTACTGTGACGTCGATCCTAACAACGCAAATAACTTTGCTTGCGCTTCTTTGAACTGCATAAAATGCCACGTCAAGGTTAGGTGATTTAAAATAATAAAAATAAAATAATCATTATGATAAATTCAAATTTGTTATTAAAATGTTTTGCAAGAATCGTTATTTTTAACAATAATGTAAACAAATGCCAAAAGAAACTTGTCTAAACTGATACGTCACTCAGGCCCTCCGACATGGCATTGGTGGTCTCACTAAAACCAGCCAATGAGCAATCTAGCTAAACTGATACGTTCACTCAGGCCCTCCAACATGGCGTTGGTGGCCTCACTAAAACCAGCCAATGAGAAATCCAGCTATTACAGTAGAGATTAGTGGTTCTAACATGCTTTTTACCTACATCCACTGTTTCCGAATACCTAGTTATTAAATAATAAAAGGTGTTCACAAATTTTGAGTAAAGATGCAAACGTAATTTCCCTGGCAGTTGACACAACTATTTAAAAAAAACAGTAATCACATAAAGGCATATGGAACACTAGAAAAAAGTCGATGAAATTATTTTCAAAAAAAATGTATGGTGCGAAATGCAATTTTAGTGGCTCTTCGACAATCTATTAACTTGATTATAATTGTAAAATAGAATAATGTCCATTTTGAAATTTACAAGCTAGAT